GGACGAGAAGGAAAAGGAGGCAGCCGGCTCCAGCTCAGAAGAGGAGGAAGAGGTGGTGGCCCTGCAGCCGATTGAGGTGGATGCGCATAAAGCTCCTGCCCCTAAAGACGAGACAATGAAAGGGGATGCTTCGAAGAATCAAGCGTCCATCGTTGAACTTGATTAGGCGGCAGTTAATCCGAAGCCCCTCCCAATGCTTAAAGCTTTCATTTTTTCAAACTTTTCTCCGGCCTGCGTGCCGTTTGCTCTTGCATCTCTTTACCCGGCCAAGGGGCCGGGGTTTATGAATATTTTGCCGGTCTTTATGGCCGGCTGTTTATATATGTATGTGGCGACCATCTTTCGGTCATCTTTGCTCACTGAATATTGTTTATGCTTTATTTTTGCCAAGTGTAGAGGATCCTTGATATCCGCTTGCATACCATACCGACTTTTTCGGCTAAAATGCTTTAAAATTTGTAACTTATCGTAAGCCAAAGATTACGAATAGACAATGCAAAAAATGCTAAGGTGCCGACTCCCTTGACCGCATCCTTCTCCTCTAGAGGAATGGCTTTAACCATAGACTTGGCCATTTGGACCAAGTCTGGTTCTTGAGGGTCGTCTGAATTCAAAGACAAATTGTTAGAACAAGAGAGAGAATATCAAAGGAAGAAAAATTTAACAAGGTCTGAAGGAGCCGGTTATACCTCTTGGAGGCCGGCTGTCCCTAGGGACTTGTGTTTGTTTACCCTCACTTTGTGGGGTTTGCGGCTGTTTGTCAGCTGATTGCTTCCTGGCAGATCCAGGCGTACTCCCAGCAGTCGTTTTCCGAACTTTTGAGTCCGGCTGTTGGGAAGAAGAGGGTTTGGACGAGCCCGCCTACAGAAGCACAGGAAAGTCAGTACTGGCAAAAAAAAGTTCAAAGGGAAACTCGGAAGAGCAGAAACTCACTATGGGCGTCTCCTTGGCAGGAGAATCGGATGAGGTCCGCTTGAGGCTCATTATAGAGGTTCGATGAAGGGCGGCCGCCTTCTTTGACGCAGAGATGTGGTCTATAGCTTCAACTGAAAATAAGAACCACAAAGAGTTAGAAAAAATTTGAAGTCAAGAAACAAAAGATGCATATAGATGCTCAAGAGGCCGGCTACCTCTGGAGGTTCGACTGCTAAGGCCACAAGCGGCCAAAAAATACTCGTCATAAAGCCATGGAAATTTGGGGACGCAGTTTAAGGGCACCTGCTCTCGTACCCCAATAGTAGAGTTTACCCTTATCTCTACTTTAAAAAAAGTCCTCGATCAAGGATCTCCTCCCTAGCCCGGCGAGGGACAAGCGGTATGCTACGGCCGCCTGCTAGAAGAGGCGGATCCTTGTTCCACTTATTGTAGCACTTGTTCAGCAGCTTGTCAGGACTGAAAATTATGAGAAAGGTGTTTCTCCAATCCTTCCATTTATTTTCCTTCCCCCTCGTCATCAAATAGCCCTTGTGGCTCATTATTTGGTACCAGCCGGTACCGCTTGCTTTGGGGGTTCGGCTAAGATAATTCATATGGGTGAACGCCTAGAAATTCGGCTCCACCCCATGCATTTCACATCCGGCTACATAGCCAAGGATGTTAAACTAGGAATTTGGGGCTAACTGCCATAACCCCACCTCGTATCCATCGAGGATTTGTTGAACGGCCGGATGCAAGGGAAATCGAAGACCAACCTTAATGGCCGCCTCGTAGCAGCCAAAACAGGCGTCCCTGTAGCTAGCCCCCATGGGCCAGACGACTGCATCTTCAACATCCGGCACAAATAATTGAAAATCAGGACCCATCACATGGTCCGATAGAAAAGAGTATATTCGTTCTTTCATGGCTTTGATTCGACCCTTTGGGACATGACAGTAGTAAGGAGTATTCAACTCCCTATGGGAGGCGGATGGTTCTCACCAGTCGTCCCCCTTATTAGACGCATGAGAAAGTCTCGCCTCATGCAAACGAGTTTAGAGAGAGGCGGCTTGAAGAGCTAGAGTCAGACTCACTATTAGAAGAGTCCGACTCCTCCCTTCTCCCAGAGGGGGCCGACCCCTCTTCTTCTTCAGGGGCCGACTGCTGACCAGCTAGGTCAACTGAAAAATGGGAAGGGACCACCTTGGCCCCTTCTCAGAGCTCTCGGCAGCAGAACCACCTTGGGTTCTTGCGGTGTCAGGACCCGGAATGAAGAGCCATCAGAGCTTTCAATCCTCGTTGTTCTTTTTGTCCTTGACATACTATCCTGCATAGATACAAAGACAGTTGGATTTCGGGACTTGCGCAAAGTTTGAAGTACTGCAGGGCAGTCGGCACCCCTAGTCCTAGACTCAGCCGTCCCCGGTGACCGGCTGATTGCTAACCTAGGTCGTGTCGGATGCTTTTGAGGTCTCATTTTCAAATAGAAAGTAAAGAAAACATAAGAGAGCAGACAGTTACCTGAGTAATATGAGTTCTGGAAAAAAGGAAAAAGCAGTCGTCCAACGAAAGCAGTCGGCTTGTCAGAAATAATCGGCAGGTCAAAAGTTGCAAAGTGTCAGAGCTCAAGTGCAAGGGTCCGAGTGTTCTCTTTTAAAAAATGCAAAGTGTGAACAAAAGACTTTCGGTCAAGGCCCTTATATAGAGAATTTGTGGAAGTTGAAGAGTCGCTTCCAAATTCAAAAAATGAGCGGGAAAAACGCTCGGCCCATCATAGGGCGACTCTTATAGTAGGTCGTCGGCTGTCACAGGCCGACACCTGTCACATGTGACATGTGACCAGTCACGTGCCACCTGTGAGGGGCAAATGATTAGGGGATTTCCCCCAGCCAGTCATCATCTGACAAGTGGACCATTCAGGCCTTGCCATGTGTCCGCCACATGGACCAGTTGGAGCCTGCCACGTGTCAAGTGCTGATCAGTCCACCTTGGACCAGTTGTGCCACGGCACGTGGCCTCCCCTATGCCAAATGGGCAAAACGGCCACTTAGGCCCAGTTTTCGGAAGAAGCCCAATCAGCCCTAGGTTGACCAAAACCTAGGACTGACACGCTTCCCAAGACATATAAATACATTCATTAATCCTTATTAGAGGGGATTCACCAATTAATTACTCTCACCTAGAGATGCAAAAACACATTGATCACTCCTCACCTTGAGGAACCAGATCTCCCACCTTTACTTTTCCGCACTTATTACTCCTAAAACAAGTACTAACTTGACCGTCGAGGTGGAGCTCCCACCACAAGGAGTTTCCGTTGTTTTGCAGGTACAGACACAAGGATACCAGTCCCGAAATTGTAACTCTCCCGCAAGACATCAGAAAACCCCGAAACACTAAGTATTATTGAAACATGCAAATGAATTAAGTGTTCTAAACTAACAATTGCCCCTTAAGATATGAAGGGATAATAGATATGATGAAATGATGCAAATCAGTTAAATATTATTTAATAATAATTTTGGAATAATACTGTCAAACTTTAGAGGGTTTTAAAAAATAATCATCATAAAAGATTTTGGTGGCTTTCAATCCCTTCTGCAAAGCCACCACATAAGCAAACCAAATAGTACTTATTAAAACTACCACTCAAATCAAAGGTGTAAACACACGCCAATACAACTTTTTCGTAAGATCTAGCCTTTCTGCGCGCATCGCGCGCGTAGGCCACTCTAGTTTAAGGAAAAAGAGGTTAATTTTGTCAGCGGGACCCACTAAAGCAAGCAATTTGGTGTTAAAGGTTTAATTTCGTTGTTTTTCAAAGATGGCATTAAAGATTAAAATGATTAAACAAAAGATATCAAAAGTTTTTGTGATTAAACTGCAGAGTTTACTTTGTATTTTTTTTTTTCCCCAAATAGAGCATAAAGGTAAAATGATATAGATGGAATTCACTCTTAGGTTTTGAGTAGGGATAGCAATATTAGATGGATATCTGTTAATGCGATTCACCCACTTAAAATAAATGGATGAAAACTCAAAATAAATGGATGAAAAGTGGGTGACGGATGAAGTGGATGATGGATCGGATCGGATGTGGATGATGATTTTTTCATCCACTAACCATCCACCCACCCGTTTAACATATATAAAGATTTTCAATCTAAAAATTTTAATAAAAAAAAAAATTAAAATATACAATAAAAATACTTTGTTTGTTGCAAATTAATTTTTTCAAAGATTATGTAGTTAGTGCTTTGTTATTATTTAAATAATAATAATAACTTACGGTAGAAATAACCGTAAATTAAATTTTATGCAAATTTTTTTTATATAAAATGTTCATTCATTAGTCACCCGATTCACCCGTTTTATTTGCGGATGATGGATGGACGGATACGGATGATGGGTGAAGCGGGTGATGGATGGATGTAGATGATGGAATTGGAATGATGGATGGATGCAGGTGAAGCTCCACCCGATCTGAATTCGATCCATTGTCATCTCTAGTTTTGAGTAGCACCCCTCAAAACTGTAACCAATAAAGCTAGTTAAAACTTAAATATCCACAATTTTAGAGTTTATTGAACTACAAATGATATGGACTCTTTTTTATTCAAATCATCAAGAATCATGGTCATTTTATTTACCGTATCAATTTTTGACTAGGCGTGCATATATATATATATATATATATATATTTATATATATATATATATATATATATATATATATATATATATATATATATATATATACATTACTTTAATCTTATTCCTTTTGTTATATACTACCTCCGTTTTTTTTTAATTAACACGTTTTGACTTTAGCACTATTCACACACCTTCATTTGACCGTGTTTTGTGCTTTATACGTAATAAAAAATATAGTTATGTGAGATCTTGTTAGATTCGTCACGTTATATACTTTTAAAATATCAACTTTTCATAATTATTGCTTATCGATAATTAAAGATATTAATGATTAAATAAGTGCATTAACAAACGTGACTAAAAAAACGTGTCAACTAAAAAGAAACGGAGAAAGTATGATTTTAACCCTCTCTTAAATCTATCCTGCTTCAGTTCTTCAGTTTTCTCTGCAAGATATGGAGACAAAAAGACGAAATTCAGCAAGATGAAAAGAAGGATTTCATAAGTTTCCTAAAGTTGTTCGAAGATGAGCTTGGAGAAAAGCCTTATTTTGGAGGAAACAATTTTGGATATTTAGACATTGCACTTATTCCAAATTATAGTTGGTTTTACTCGTATGAGAAATTCACTAAATTGAACCTAGAGGCCGAGTGTCCAAAACTTATTGCATGGGCTAAAAGATGTATGAAGAGGGATAGTGTGAATAAGTCTCTACCTAATGAGCTTAAGATCTATGAGTATATTTTCGAATTGAAGAAGAGGTTTGGAACAGATTAAAATCGCGGTGTTTTTAAAGATCGTAATATGAATGTACTAGGTCTTGGGCTCTCCGATGAACGAATTGTAAGGATATAGTGGTTTGTAATGTTTTATTTAAGAACCTACTAATTGATGTCGTGGTAGTATAATACATTTAGTTCTATGTTGTAATTTTAGTTTTGGCGTTTAGAGTTTCATATACGATGTAAGAAAATTAACGGTGTGTTTGGATAAAGAAATGGGAAAGAAAAGAAGGGGAGGGAGGTGAGGGGGAGGGAAGAGAAAGGAAGGGGAGGGAAGAAAGATGAGTTTTCCTTCCAAATCTCTGAATTGTTGGAGAGATTAATTTCTTACAATTTTATCCTTCCATTTCTCTCCCCTCCAATTCCCTTCCTTCCTTATTTGTTATCTAAATGAAGATAATCCATTCCTCCATTTCTCTTCCCTTCTTTTCCCTCCATTTTCTTCAATCCAAACAAAGTGTAAGTGAATAATATAAAACAATTCAAACGTATAAGCTATTTCGAGACATATATGACGTATTTATTCATTCTATGCAGTATTTATATTATATTTTCTGATTTTAAAAGGCAAAATTGGCTATTTATTTGAACGCGCACAAACTATTTATTTGTGTGCGTTCAACAACATGACATTTAAGTGGAGTAAATTATAGCACATTAAAAATACAGAGTACAAAAGGATGAACCAATATGTATGTTGAGTTAAGGATAGTGATGGTTATATATATTGAAAAGTTTACACTACGACAATAAATAAAGGTAAACCAATCAATTACTCCCTCCATCTCAAAATAATTGACATGTTACACAATTTTTTTTTTTAATAACTATTCACATATTAAGTTTGACCATAGATCATAGTAAAGTATTAAAAACAAAATTTATATTAATATGTTGTGAATTAAATAGGTATTAATTTAAAGTTTCATAATATCAACATTTTAATGTTTTTTTTTAGGAAAAATTAGAAAATAACACCATAAATTTCTCAAAAATTGGATTATTACACCAAAAATTTTAAACTTTTATTATAGGGATTTCACTACCATCTAACGGTTTTTTGGATAGAATCCGTTAAAGGGACCCACAATGGACACGTGTCAATACGACATTGGCTTAAAAAAAAGAAAAAAAAACAAAAAAAAAAAGAAAAAAAAAAAAAGAAAAACCCTTAAACCCTAACCCAGCCACCAGCCCCACCACCGGCGGCCGTGACTCCACTGCCGGAGACCCCCACTGCCGCCGGAACCCCTTCCTTCACCGGCGAAATCATCGGCCATCACCCCCACCGACATCAGCCCTCGCAGATCCCACCAATCAGTGGAAACCACCACCACAAACCGGCGAAAGCAACCAATTCTGTTCGCCTCCACCGCGAAATCAATAGATCTAGGGCTTCTAAGGTCAATTTCGGCCGGTTTGAAGGTGAGGGGTAATTCCAAGGGTTGTTTTCGGCGAGGGGGCGAAGGGGCTAGGTGATTTTCATGGGGGGGCTGTGGTGAGTGGGGTGATTTTTCGGGGAGAGGGAAGGGGGAAGGGGATTTGCGAGGGGCTAATGTCGGTGGGGGTGATGGCCGGTGATTTCGCCGGTGAAGGAAGGGTTTCCGGCGGCAGTGGGGTTCTTCGGTGGTGGAGTCACAGCTGCCGGTGGTGGGGCTGGTGGCTGTGTTAGGGTTTAGGGGTTTTTCTTTTTTCTTTTTTAATTTTTGTTTTAATTTTTATTTTTGTTTTTTTAAACCAATGTCGTATTAACACGTGTCCATCGTGAGTCCCTATAATGGATTTCATCCAAAAAAACCATTAAATGGTGGTGAAATCCAATTTTTTGGTTTTTTTGTGGTGTTATATAAAAGTTATAAAATTTGTGGTGTTATAATTCAATTTTTGAGAAATTTGTGGTGTTATTTTCTAATTTTTCCTTTTTTTTTATTTACTAATATTTAATGTCAAACTATTGTATTGACATGTTTGTGCTAAGTTTGACTATGTCAATTATTTTTTGAGGGACTACGTTAGCGGGATATTATTCCAAATCAATGTTCACAAGAGTATTTGATAATTATTATCAAATAGTGTAAGATTCAATTATAACGGAATATATACATAGTTAGTAGCTACTGATCAATTATTATAACCAAAAATTATATTCCATGTATTCGTTATTAAGTAAATATAGCACAAGGTCATACATGGGAGAAGGATAAAAGAATACGAGAGATAGTGTAAGTAAAGTAAAGAAGTGGGTAATTTTAAACATCAAATGACTGAAACATTTAACGGGAATATTTTTAGCAATTAATTAGCTAATTATTGATTTGTAGATGAGATGATTAATCAATGAAGAATATATAATCTTGTTGTAATTAGAAAAATTTTGCTTTATTTCATTATGGATTGATTTGTTAAAATCACTTATTTAACATTTATAACATTACAAAAGTATTTGATTTCGAAAGTTACTTAATTGTAGTAAAAGATGATGGAGTAGATTATTTTTATTGTACTTTTTATTCAATATTGTAGCATAAATCAAGAAGATCTTAATTTTTTTGAGGCAAACACCGTCCAAGTCCTTCCTCGTTCATTTATATAATAGAGATATAAATTTCTGTAATCACAAAAAGATAAAAATGGAAAGAATAAAAGGATGCATACATATTACTATTACTTATTTGAGCATCTACTAGTGTTGTTTTTAGGGACCATTTAGGGAATCATATTGTAAGACGTACTTATAAATTAGACTCTTGCCAAGCTTTTCTTGCTCAAGTCACTGCCCTTCGTAATGTCCACCTCCTCGCTAGGGAGTATAATATCACTGATATAATTATTATAGGTGATAATGTCACTGTTATTAATATTTTGTAGAATCCCTTTAATTGCCCGTGGAAGCTCAAGGTGCTAATATGGATAATGTCAAGAACATTTTAGATTCTTTCTCGGCCTTCAAGTCCCAGCATATCTACCCTGAAGAAAATTGGGCAATAAATTTGTTGTCTCTCTTGGCTATTCCACTCTGGCGCACCAAGATATAGACCCATTTACGGATAGCAAATTTTCTTATTTCTTACTTTTAGATAGATAAAAGCATGGTCTTGCAAGAAGACGATTCTAATCTACTCCATGTATCTTACTTAAAATAAATAAATAAATAAATAAATAAATAAATTTGAGGCCTCAGGTAGTTTTAGCCCACACTCTCTCTGTCCCTTTATTTTTTTCCCCATTCTCATCTTTTAGGTTCAAACTTTGAAAACTTTTACCATAAATTACCGTTGATCTATAAGGATAATATAGTCATGTAAGATCTCATTAGATTTGTCTCATGATATATTTTAATAATCATGTTTTATAATTATTACGTGTATGAAACTTAAGATATATATGTTTTAAGACACATTTAAGAGACAGTAAAAAGTCAAATGAAACAAAAAAGTGGGGAAATTCCCAACGGTAACACTCAACTTTTTAAGTTTCTCAATGGTGACTTTTAATTTTTAAAATTATCAAATATAACCCCAAATTACTAATTAGTCATTAAATGTGACATTAGTAGGTTAAAAAAGGTTAAATGCAGGTTTAATACACCATTTTCTGTCAAATAATCCTAACCTTAGTTAACTATCATAGTTAATCTAATTTCCTCCATGATTAACTACCTAGAAATTCGTCATAGTTACTGCTACATGATAATTGACCATGCTTTGCCTCCTTAAAATGAAAGAAAAAGTGGCGCTACTCCTCTTTGAATGACTAATTATATGAAATTTCAATCAAGTTGCAGTACTATGTGTTAGACCTGCTTCCCCATATTTTTTATATACATTTTGTATTAGTATATTAAAAAAACAGTACTCCAACTTAAAATAGAAAAAAAAAAGTAAATGATGATATATAAGATGTCAGATCCACTTAAATAAATAATTTAAACTAAACTACAAAAATTTATTTTAAACCTAAATCTAAAACTAAGATGCAAGCTCTAAACACAAATGTAGTCCAATAATAAACTAGCGGAAACTAACGCAAAAGTTTAATGAAAACTAATGTTCTTATTGAATGAGACAGTTAACTACTACAATAAACTATCCATTCATTATATATTTGCTAGGTCAATTAGCTTTTGTTGCATCATATATATACTTGTATTAGTTAGCTTGCCATTTGTCCGTTCACTATATACTTGTATTAGTTAGCTTGCCATTTGTCCGTTCACTATATACTTGTATTAGTTAGCTTGCCATTTGTCCATTCATTATATACTTGTATTAGTTAGCTTGTCATTTGTCCAGTCATTACTCCAAACATATGACTATTTCGTATATAAGACTACACATATCAATCAGACTACATGCCAACACATTTTCCCCCTTTTTCTATTCACTACCTTATGTTTTATGTCAAAGTTTACTGATATTATCTAGCCTCGTCTTCTATTGCAATCAGTCAATGACGATACACTAGTTGGTTAGGCAGTGTAAATTGATTAACGACATGTCGTAAGTTCTTCAATTAGGTTCAACAAATTATTAAATTCCGGGTAAAATCATATATTTAACCAAATGAGTACTCTGCTATAAATAAAAATTAATTGCTACTTACAAGGATTTTATCACAATTCCACCAATTTCTATCAGTATAATACATCCACCAACTTCTATATATTTAAGCAAATAAATTTTCAGCAAAATTGGCACAAATTATACAAACCCAACCTAGAATTCTGCCAAAATTTTGACACTTTAACTGATGAGTGACATTTACGTCACTCTTAATTAAGAGCAGTTTTTAGGCTTAATTTCTCTTATTTCCTTAGGTTTTTCTATCTCATTTCTTCTCTTGTGGTTTTCTTTTGTGCTTGATGAAAGATGTACTACTTATTTGTGCTTATTCTAATGATCTTTATGCATCCTTTAGTCATCCCCTCACTCTCGTGATCTTTGTTGTCTTTTTGCTGGTTCCATAGCGATCACGAGCACGGTGGAAGGCCCCTTGGCCAAGTTTGGAAGCATGGGTAAAGGCAAAAGAAGAATAGAGAAGAGGAGAAGACTAGAAGAGAAGTTTCAAGAAGAGGTTTGACTAAATTTTCTAAAGTTTGGTCGAACCAAGAGGAACACTTGAATACATTACATTAAAAAAATTCCCGCTTTCTT